TAATGCTTGTGCCATGAGAAAACTTTGGTAGTTCGAAGGAAAATCGTGGGAGGGTAATTATTTTAGATGGCAGAAAGTTTTTTTGGCAAAGATGACTAAGGAGATCTCCAACGCCACCCGCATACATTTCAAATAATGTTTGAACTAAACGAACAAAATTCATGCAAACCGAACGATACTCATACAAACCAGAGCACATTCATTACATTTCGGACATTATTCATTGTTGGGGGGAGGGGGGGACTTAAACCTAGACTACGGCGGCGGCTGTCATCCAAGTCCTTTGTGTTCCCTTCCGGCGACCGTGTCCTCCATCTGCTGTCTCCATCAGCAGCGTGGACAAGACTTGTGAAGTGAATGTGAGGTCTCCAGCGAGGAAGAGTAGAACCTGGGAGACAGACCAACCCACTTGGGACACAATGCCCTGCTGCTTCCCATGACCTACTCATCCTCGAAGGACTCCGCGGCCTGTCTGGAGCCAGTGGACGTGAGGTCGACGAAAAAAATGGAGGGGCTGGCACTCTCGTCATCCAACCGGCATGGACAAACAGTGTTTGGTGGCACATAGGACCCACAACCGGCGGCATTCTAGCCTGCGATCGTGTGCGCAGCTAGCGTTGCCTCCGTGTCTATGTCCGGCTGCACCGGCCGTGTGTTCTGAGCAATAGCTTGAGAGCAGGTGGCCTCGTAGAGTGCCCGCTGCTCGGGGACAAAGTTGGAATTCGCCACAGCCATGGCCACCACAGCTTCCACGCCCGCTCTCTCGCTCGCTCACTCGCCATAGATCTAGCTCTCCTCCAGCCGGTGCTGCTCAAGAAGGACCAGGTTGTACTGGTGCTCCTGCCGCTCCTGTCAGAACAACGTCATATAGGCGCCGGTGCAGGCTCCTCATTCGCCATTGTGTCGTTGAAGTGCATGCGCCTGTGCCTGCTCCGTGGTCAAGCTGACATGCACCGGCGCAGGCTCCAGCGCTAAGTCATCATCGGAACCCATCTCCATCGTGTGGACCTCGGGGGAGTTGGCCGGCATGACGAGCTCAATCCTCCTTGCACGGCGGCTCCGCCAGGCGACCGCAAGGGCGATGATCTTCATCTCGTCGATAGGCTCTCCCACAGAGCATTCCTGCTCGTGGTCATGGCAATTGGGCTGCACGGGAGGAAGATGTGGAGGGAATGGGGTTGTGATTAGTTGTTCTCCGGGTGTGGCCAAGCCTCCGGTTGTGTCAACGCGCGGGGTGCTAGAGTTGGTTTCTTGGTCGTTGAGCCTGATTAATGGCGGTAAACGGAGGAACGGGCATTGAAAGGGCATGTTAGATACCCGTCTCGTCTCGTCCGGTAAACGTCTCTCTGAAATTGAACATGCGCGTAGACCACGGACACGGCATGGGCGGCGTCCTCGGCCGGCGAGCCGCTTCAATGCTGATGCCGACGAGAGTTCATATCTGCTCTGGGCCGGTGTCAATGCGGAGTGAGTGCTCTAGAGCGGCATGAGAGCTGGCAGCTGAGTTTGCGACGGAAGTGCGCGGGAGGGGTTTTTGGTGGTCAGGTCAGTCAGACGAGGGTGCATGGCAGTGGTTCGGACGCCCACAAAGCCTCCCTATTTGTCTCTTGTTTGCGGAAAAAAGTGCGTCCGGACCAGTCGGCGGGCCAATGCAGGCTCATGGTGAATGGCAAAACACGTCCGAACCGCACAATCCGGACTGTTACGAGGTCTGAGAGTCGGCATTGAAGATAGCAAGACTGAGGGAGGTCTCGCCTCAAGGGCGCCCTCATGTCGCTAATACAGGGCTGCCCATGTAGCTTCTTTAGGGTTTGTTTTTCTTCTTCGTTTTCTCATTTGTTTGTTTTTTTTATTTTGTTCATATTTTCACAAAATATTTCAAATACATATGTCTAAATTTTAATTTACTACAAAAATTTAAAACCACAAATTTGAAGAATCTTATCGCATTATGAAAAATATTGGTGTAATTTTTCATGAAATGTTTGTAGCATTCAAAGAAAAGGTTGATGACATTTCACAAATATAAACATGTTTCACAAAAATGTAGATTGCAATTAAAAAATGTTTATACAACAAAAACAAATGTTTTGTGTCATTAAAAAGAAATTATTTTGTACCATTGAAGAAATGTACGTCACACTTTAAAATAAATGTTTATTATCATTCAAAAAATGTTTCAATTTGTATCTGAATTTTTTAAAACATATTCAAAAAATATAATCAAAAAATTTATTTGGAAAATAATATTAACCATTTATATGAATAATGTTAAATGTGTATAAAATGTTTCTTATAAAAATTTATACTTGCAATGGGAAAATAAAGAAAGCAATAACACGAAAAAAGAGTAAAGAAAGCCGAAAACCCAATGAAAATGATAGAAAACACATTCAAAAGGAAGAAGAAGAAAAAACCAAACGAAATTTCTTAAACCAGTCGATCAAGCTCATAGAACCGCTACAGGCCAGCCTGTTTAACCCGTCTAACGCTTCCAATATTTATCGCGAGCAACTAGTTGACGAGCGCTTCTTCGGGAGCTTCGCAAGGTGGGCTGAGAGCGCGCCACTTAGTGCGCTCTGAGCGCTTCCTTCATTTTTTTTCTTTTTTACTTTTCCGCATGCGTTTTCGGCTTTTTAAACGGGTTTTTTTTTGACATTTTGGTTTTCCACCGGTCTTTAGCTTTTGGAACAATTTTCTTTTTCGCGCGAAAAGACTTTTTTTTTGCTTCAGCGAGAGGCACGATTTTGCTTTTGCGAGAGGAACGCCATGCCTCTCGGAAACAGAAAAAACATGTTTCTGCCTCTTGGAAACGGAAAAAAATGTGTTTTCTTTTTTTTTCTCTTCCGCGAGAGGCACGGCAATCCCTCTCGGAAACGAAAAAAAACTGCATTTTCTGTTTTTTTCCTTCCACGTGAGGCATGGTTGTGCTTTCATGGGAGACACGGCCGCGCCTCTCGCAAACAGAAAAAAAACGCATTTTTTATTTTTTTTCCTTCCGTGGAAGGCACAGTTGTACTTTCGAGAGAGGCACGACCATGCCTCTCAGAAACAAAAAAAACACCTTTTTTTTCTTCCGCGAGAGGCACGGTTGTGCTTTCTTGAAATGCACGGCCGTGCCTCTATCGGAAAAGAGAAAAACCATGCTCCCGATTCGGTTCGTCCGGTATTTTTGTGAAAATAAAGTTCATCAAAACCTATCAACATGAGATCTAGTTTAAAATATCTTGACGCGAGGAATCCAACGAAAAAAACAGTTCGATATTTGGACACACGGTTTAAGAGATAAAACGTTTTGAATAAATGGATCTATGAAAAAAGGAAAAACTGACAGGTTGCGATAAGTGGTGCACATGCAGCGGGCCACTTGTCACAACTTGAGGAGACGGGAGTGTCTGTGCAAGGAGTACTCCTCAATTAGTGATTTCGATATATTTCTCTTGTAGGCCACTACATTTTCCCACGATGGGCCACGTCCCGAACGGTTGCCGTCAAGGCCCAATATATTGTTGCTTACCCTTTCGTTTATACTTCAAATATTCTAAATACATATAGATAAATATATTACAATTTTTTCTCAAAAATGTTAACAAATATTTTCAATTTTTTAAATGCCTATCGAGAAATGTTTCTCATGTATATGAAAATTGTACTCCCTCCGTTCCTAAATATAAGTCTTTTTAGAGATTTCAAATGGACTACAACATATGGATGTATATAGACATATTTTAGAGTGTAGATTCACTCATTTTGCTCCGTATGTAGTCCCTCGTTGGAATCTCTAAAAAGACTTATATTTGGGAACAGAGGGAGTATGCAATAATATACAATGTGTATGAAATATATCGATCATGTATTAAAAAAGTATTTGCAAATGTTAATCAAGTATTTGCAAATGTTAATCAAGTATTTGCAAATGTTAATCAAGCATTTGCAAAATGTTAATCAAGTATTTGCAAATGTTAATCAAGAATATGAAAACTATGAAATGTTTATAGAAAAAAATGCTGGTCATGTATATGAAAAATATATAAAAGAAATATATGTGCATGAAAAAATGTTGATCATGTAGTTAAACAATGTTGAACCTGTATAGAAAAACGATCTTGATGTATACAAAAAATGTACAATGTACATTACATAAAAGTAGAAAACGAAAACATATATTTAAAAACAGAATTTGTATTTAAAATATATTAAACGTGTATATAAATATGTTTCTTAATGTATATTAAAAATGTACATTGTTTGAGAAAAAACATTAATTGCCATTAAAAAACGTTCACTCTATATTAAAAACTGGTGACCATGTGTTAAAAAAATGTGCAATGTGTTTGGAAAAGAAGTACATATTAGAAGAATAATTCTTTTCATAAAATGTTAATCATGTATTTTTGAAATATTAAACGCGTATATAATCTATGTTGCTGATGTATACGAAAAATGTTGAATGTGTATTGAAACTTTTAGACCTGTTTAAATAAAAAAGAAGCTAATGAAAGTCGACAAAGAAAAATGAAGAAACCCAATAAAACCAGAAATATAAAAAACACTAAAAATGAAATAAAAACAGAAGAAACCAAAAACCTTAAACCCATGTGTAGCAAAGAAGAAAAATGAGAAAACTAATGCAAAAGAATGGAAAATAATTGCAACCCTATACCCTAGTCGCCTCGCTCCTCTGCTGCACACATGTGAGAATTCTAAATGTCTAACCCACGAATTAATGGTTGCTGCGGGTCGCAGTGGGCTTACCTGGTGTCAGTAGAATTTTTCTGCTTTTCTAGAGGCCGGCAATAGTTGCCGCTGCTGCAGAGGTTTGGATTGTTGCCATATCTTGCGAAAGAAGGAAAAAAAATGCAGATTAAAACATGCTGCTGATTCAAGATATATAAAATGTATTCGGAATAAAAGGATGAGATGAGATGAGATCTGGGAACTCTAATTGAGAAATTATGATGCTGGAGGGCAGGGTAGTAGCAACCTAAGTGTTAGGGAGCCATCTTGAGTTCTTTTCACAAGCCCAGGAGGAATTGATCCATTGAGCTGATTGTCTGTCAAATCTCTGAAAGAAACACAACAGTTTTTTGATGAGATGTGATGTTTAGTAGGAAAGGATTTGGAAAGTATATACCGATCACTTACATAAGCGTGAGCGACGACAATTGCGAAAGGGTGTCAGGAATTGAGCCGGTAAGATTATTGCGTGACAAATCCCTACAGATTCGTGAAGTTCCAGTTAGACAGTTTGATTGCTGCTAGCTAGAAAAAATTAGAGTTGCAATGGCTACTAGCTTAACAATGTCCTACTTACAAGTATTGTAAACCTTTGAGACCAGCAAAAGAAGATGACAGGTTGCCACTGAGGCCACTGGAGGATAGATTCCTACAACATAAATGCATACAACAATAGCTCAATAATCCCAGCCACCACCACCACCACTACTACTACTATACTTAATTTAATAACAAGGAAAATAACAGTCAGAAAGATATAACTCACAGGCCTGTGACAATTGGTGGGCTGGAGACAGTATAGCTACAACCTAATCCTTTCCACGCGAAATTCTTGGGCATGCACGGATCGCCCATCCAGTTCTTCTTCACCTTGTACATTCCTCTTATCGCCGCCATGGCAGACACTGTTGCATATCTCGGCGGCGAAACACACAAATATATCAGCTGAGTACAATTAACTGCTTCATCCTGAGTGAAACGCTACGTATACTATTGCATCTGAAGAACTTCTTAAGAAAAGAACTGTACTTGCTTACCGTCCTGAGTGGCCGTGGTTATGCCAGTCGTGGGCAACACGGAGAAGATCTCAATGGCGTTGAGGATGGGTGGGACCGTGGAGTTAGTAGTGGCGTTGAGCGAGACGTTGTACTGGTGGGACCCGTGGCTGGGGATGCCGTTGAAGACGGCGTTGGTGTAGAGGTACTGCGGCGTCAAGCCCTTCCCAAGCCAGAGCTGGCCGTTGAGGGTGACGTAGAACTGGCGCAGGGCGTTGACCGGGAGAGGTTGGAGCTCGGAGAAGTGCAGGATGCAGATGTATCCGGGGTCTGGGACGTTGGCGCTGGGCTCGGCGTCCCAGGTGAACTGGATGGGGCTGGAGGAGTTGATGGGGGTGACGGCGGTCTGCATCACGGCCGACGGCACGTCGAAGCTGCTGCCCTCCATGTTGTGCACTCTCTTCGCCGTGGAGATCTCTGACCATTCCGTCGGCTTGCTCTGCGGGATCCAAAAACGGTCGTGCGGGTCGTCGGGATACCTGAGGATTACACCGTCGGTTGGGCCGAAGTTGGATCTGGTGAGAAGAACCAGCCCCTGCGTCGAGTTCGACATCGGGTACAGTCCGTTCTCGAGGGGCCTTAGGTCGAGGGCGGAGATGAAGGGCGTCCCGGAGCCCGTGTTCACGAGGCACACCTCGGCCGAGTCGCCAGGAACGACGGCGATGATCTCGTAGATTTCCGGCGTGTTGGCGTTCGAGATGTTCACGGTCGTCCAGTAGTTGACGCCGACGTGGAGGTCGAAGACGGGCGCTTTGTTGAGGCCGTCATAATTGCCGTACATGAACTTGGCCCGGACGAGGTGCTTGAGCCCGGCCACGAGGGGGCCGAGCGTGTAGCAGCTCCGCGCGCCAGCGCCGCCACCGAAGCTACGAACATTGTGCCAGCTCTTGCCCATCAACGGCGTGATGTACTCGGACGACATGTTGTGGTTGGTGCCCGCGTTGATAAAGCCGGCGTCTGAGGTGAAGCGCAGCTTGGTGGTGCTGTCCACGTAGCCGGCGGCATTCTCCGGCAGGCCGCAGTCCAGGCTTATGAAACCTGGCCCGCGGACGCAAATTATAAATTAAGCACTTGCAATGTTTCTGAAGGTAATGCCATATATGTAACGTTGCACGCATGTACGATGGGCTCACCTAAGTTATCCACCTGGCCATGGACTTGAAGAACGCCGCCGCAGCCGGCAATGCCGAGAAGAAGCAGCGACATCCACCACCACCAGGCCGCCATTGCTCTCGGCCACGGTCCTTCCATCGGGCATGTGCCACAGCTACACCACAACATGGAATATATGTACGTACGTGGGCCGTCTAACTCGATATACAGGATTAATATAAATCTAGCACCACATGTCAATCAGTTCATAAAAAGGGTTGTACAACTTACCCAGTTGGGGGCTTGAGGGCAGATCACGTGGGTGATGGGTTGACTTGCATCATGAGTTAGCGAGCGGCCTTGCTTGCCCTAGATGTGCATAGATGCCCCAACCTTGGTGACCTGAGGCCAACTCCACCGCACGACCCCAAACGAATGTTCGGATTGGCCGGATTTTGTCTCTTTGGGGCGCCGATGGGTACGCCCGTGTCCGGCTGTGTCCATTGAATCGTGCATGCGCCCACCGCGCGGCCGCACCCCAAATCACGTCCGTGTTTAGAAAAACAATAAAAAAAGAAAACATAAAAAATAACTAAAAAAAGTAAATAAACGCAGTTTAATAAAAGATAAAACTTAGTTAGGGGGGTCCATGGCCACAAAACGGCCCAGTTTCGTCACATTAATAATTAAACATAAAAAGAAAAGAAAAACGGTCGCCGCCGGCGCGCTCCTGCCCGTGCCCGTCGTTGCCGTCGCCGTGGCGCTCTTCACTGGCCGCCGGTGTCGTCGTCGTCGCTGACGAGGTCGACATAGGCCGGCGGCGTCCACAGGTGGGCCGGCGGTGCGTGCGGTGCCTGGTAGACGGGGGCGGGCTGGACGGCGGGAGGTGCCTGCAACACGTCCTCCCATGGCGACCCCTCCCGCTCCGGTGACTGCGGCGGAGTGGCGCGCCAGTCCACGCCCAGGCTGGCGGCCATCTCCGGAGCAGTGCAGGACCAGGCCCACCCCGCGCCCACCAGCTGCTGGAAGGCGGCCGCCGGCTCCTCCTCCATGGCGTCCTCCCTCCTCTCCTCCGTCAAGGCCGCCATCTGCAGCTCCGGGAAGGCCACGTCGCCGGCGGCAGACACTGCCATGGCCTCCTCCAAGCCATCCCATTGCCGCTCGTCGTACGTGCGCATGGAGTCCTCCATGACACGCTGCACGAGACGGGCTTCCTCCTTCGCCGTCATGTGAGGAGGTGGTGGTGGCGATGGAGACGGCGACGGCGTGGGCGTGAGGCCGCGCACCACCCTATGCCCGCGCTCCTGGGGAGCGGCCGCTCGGCCCTCTGGGTGTGGCCACCGTGGCCCCGTCGACGTGCCGACGAAACAGGACGCCCGCCGCGCGTCGTGCTCATCGCGGAACCAGGTGTCCCACAATGGCGAGTCGGGGGTGTACCTGGGATCGTAGTAGAGGTCGTCCGGGAGGAGGCGGCGGCGGCGTTCGATCTCCTGGCGGCACGCACGGCCGGTCACCGGGACCGGCGGGATCGGCACGCGGTCGGCCGACAAATGCCAGTTGTTGGGGAGGTGGGCGTCGCTCCAGGGGATCGGCGTCCTCGTCTCCCAATAATGGCGACACACCTCAGCGCGGATGTAGTGCCGGTCGCGCTCGCCGGCGGACGCGGGGGCGATGGAGAACGCGGGCGGCGAGGGGGCCCGGCGTGGTGGTGATGGCGAGGCCGGCTCCTCCTTCTTCACCGAGCCGCGGCGACGCTCCGACGAGGAGCCAGCCTCGCGGTCGTGCTTGCTATTGCGGCCGTAGTCCCAGAGCCCCATGGCTGCGGGGCGGCCGGCCGGCGAGTTCTTGGCTAGGGTTTGGGTCCTGGGGCTGTCGGGTTTCGAGGAGGCCGCGGGATGGCGTGGGGCAGTGTGGATGACGACCGGTCCACGCTTCCCACTTAAAGAAGGACGGCGACCCTTCCATGTGTGGATGACAGGTGGGGCCGCCCGCCCGTGCGCATTGATGTGGGCGGGAGGAAGGTAGGTGGCCGCCTGCCACGCGGCCCCAACGCGGACGAGGGCACGTTCGTTTGATGTCTGCCGCGACCCAAACCCGGCGCAAGTTCGCGCTCGAAATGGGTCGGCCCGGACACAAAACGGACAGGATGGGTCCGGGCCGTCACGCGCTGGGCCGCCTCCTTTGTCCCTTTTACCCCAAGCGGACCGGGATGGACAGGATTGGGTCGCGCGGTGGAGTTGGCCTGAGACTTCTGACTTTTGCTGCGTGGTTGTCCGATGGCAGATCGGTTTCGCAACGATATGGTTGACAAAGTGATTCTTTTTATGGGATTGTTAATTCTCAATCAATGCTATTTTTGTGGGATCTTACGTGGAAATTTGTGGAATTTTTTATACATTATTTCTCTTTCTTACATGTTATGTCACTTGACTTAAACTTACTTAATTCTTAGTCAACTGACAGCTAGCCATACCATTTTTTTATGTGTTACTCCCTCCATCCCATAATTCCTCATCCCTTCACAAGAATTATGGAACGCATGGAGTAGTTGACTATCTGTGCATTATCCATGGGCACTGTTCAAGATATCTTTCGATATTCCGATAAATCGGCCGACTTATCGCTTACCATTGTCTAGCCGATAAGATAAATCGGCCAATAAATCAGCCGATATGGCGATAAATCGACCGATATGCTGACAAACTGGCCGATTTACCCCTTATCATGGGTCGACCGACAAGTTCCCAATAAGCGATATCCCCAACATCGGCACAACAAATTTAGACATAGGGCAACATCAGACGTCCGTCGATATTTGTACAGGCTTTGTACAATAACCTGTAGCATATCATACACATACAAATGTAATCATAGCATACACATACAAATACTCTCATTAAACTATGTCATCATCATAATCATCATCCAACATAAAGTGGTCTCTCCTCATCATCTCGAAATAGCGATACAAGTCTCAAATACTTACAACTACATCTTCATCCATCTAAACAATGATATACACGAGAAGAGCTATCACTATGAGTGAGAGCCGAACTATGCAGCACATGAGGCGGCAGTTATGAGTCCTCTCTCGCGCTAGCGTGAACCTCAAATAACTAGCTTCTGCTTCTTGTCTGCTTTTGAACCCTTGATGGCCACCGCCCGAGAGCCGCTCCACTTGCGCCTAATGTTGGGTATGCATGAAAAACCAAAAAAAAGTTCTACGCACACGCAATGATCTATCCATGAAGATGCATATCAATGAGGGGGAGAGTATGTCTATGTACCCTCGTAGACCGTAAGCGGAAGCGTTTCATAACGCGGTTGATGTAGTCGAACTTTCTTCGCGCTCCAACCGATCTAGTACGGAACGCACGGCACCTCCGCGTTCTGCACACGTTCAGCTTGGTGAAGTCCTCCGCCTTCTTGATCCAGCAAGACGTCGAGGTAGTAGATGAGTTTGGACAGCACGACGGTGTGGTGACAATGATGGTGATGTGATCTCCGCAGGGCTTCACCTACGAAAATATGACCGAGGGAGTAAATGGTGGACGGGGGCGCCGCACATGGCTAAGACAATGTTGTGTCCTTGTGTGGCGCCCCTTCCCCGCATATATATATATATATATATATATATATATATATATATATATATATATATATGGAGGGAGGGAGGAGCAAGGAATCCTACTTGGGGTCTCTCCCAAGGTGACTCCCCTCCTGCCATGTATAGAAGCGGGGGAAAGGCAGGGGAGGGTGGCACCCCCTTTCCTTTCTCCCATGAGAGGGAAAGGCAGGAGGGGCTAGCCCTCCTCCTTTTCCTTCCCTAGGGTTGTTTGGCCAGGGAAAGGGGCGCACTAGCTCCGTGTGGGCTGGTCTGTCCCTCCCTTGGCCCATTAAGACCATATACATGCCGGCGGTGCCCGGAACCCCTTTCGGTTACCCGATTTCTTCCCGATACGTCCCGAAACACTTCTGGTGTCCAAATACCATTTTCCTATATATCAATATTTATCTCTTGACCATTTTGAGACTCCTCGCCATGTTCGTGATGTCATACGGGACTCCGAACAACATTCAGTCACCAAATCACATAACTCATATAAAACTATATCGTCAACGACCGTTAAGAGTGCGGACCCTATGGGTCCGAGAACTATGTAGACATGACCGAGATACCTCTCCGGTCAATAACAAATAGCAGAACTTGTATGCCCATATTGTCTCCTACATATTCTACGAAGATCTTTATTGGTCGAGCCGTTATGACAACATACCTAGTTTCCTTTGTCCATCGGTATGTTACATGCCCGAGATTCGATCGTCGGTATCTCTATACCTAGTTCAATCTCGTTACCTGCAAGTCTTTTTACTCGTTCCGTAATACATCATCTTGCAACTAACTCATTAGTCACTTTGCTTGCAAGGCTTCTTATGATCACTACTAGGAAAATGCTTATAGGTAGACATTTAGCAGTAGCGTTGGTTATATACCCCATGCTACTGCTATTTAGCAGTAGCGCCGGCCAAAACCAGTGCTGCAATCGCACATTAGCAGTAGCGCTTGTTTTCCAGGCCAGCGCTGCTGTTAGTGGGCCACACACTCGGCCCATTGTTGCAGCTTTAGCTATAGCGCTGGCCCTCCTACCCCACGCTGCTGGTAAGCCCACCTCTGCTTCCCCTCCGGCCCGCGTGCGCTCTCTCTCTCACTCTCACACTCACACGCTCACACTCACGCGCACCTCAATCCCCCACTCCGGCCGCCGCCCCCGTGTCCTACGCCGGCCGCCCTCCCCCGCGCGAGCCCTCCTCCCCCGCTGGCCGCCCTCCCCCACCGGCCGCCCTCCCCCGCGTCGGCCATCCTCCCCCACGCCGGCCCTCTTCCAACGAGAGGTACTCCTCCCTCCTTCCTCCTCCTCCTCCCTCCCTCCCTAGTTTATTTTGAATCCTATATAGTTGAATCCTAATTAGAGATTAGGTAGTATGAACCCTAGTTAATTTGTATGAATCCTAGGTTTTTAAATTAGCTAGGTTTTAAAACTAGGACAGAAACTTATCTAGGTTTTCAAATTAGGACAGAAATTTATCTAGGTTTTTAATTAGGTGTAGTTAATAGAATTTAGGTGTTTTAGGTGTATTTAACATAATTCTAGGTGTTT